TTAAGCTCAGGGGATTATCAGTATTGGTGGCGCAGAGAATGTTCATCTAGTATTCGGTAATCGTGCGGTATTTGGAGTTGGCTAGTGACGAATCGCTAGCAAGATTAAGGCGATAGTGGTTATCATGCCTATCGTGTAAGGGAGGAAGGAATGGATATCCTTGGATTTTCGCGTGCAGTAAAGACTTAGCTGAAGCTAAGTAGGGGAGGAACAATCATGTTATGGGAGCAGAAGCAGTTTTGAAACTAGGATAAGTTTCGCTCTCCTGTCAGGAAGGAAGACGGCCCAGGTGGCTGTATGAATTGAGGACGGTGTGAATTGGAAGTTTGGAAAAACTTGCCAATTGTGAGACCTCATTCTCGAGATGTCTGGTAGCAGATCGCAGAGGAATCGGTTGGGAGTTCAAGTTGGGACATGAGTACCACTTGGGGGTACTAGATTGTGCTTGTATGCTCGGCTATGGGTTAGTCGTAGCATCCACTAGCAGCCAGTCGGTGGGGAAGGGTGTTGTCAGACTACCGGATGGCCGTAGCATTTACCAGTGGTCAGATAGTAAGAAGAGTGTGGTAAGACTGCGGGGCGGTCCGTAGCAATGGTTAGCAGATAGCATCGAAGTGTGGTGCGACTGCGGTGTGGCCCGTAGCATTAGTTTAGTAAGAATGCGGTGTGGCCCGTAGCAATCGTATGTGAGTATAGTTAGGATGCGGTGTGGCCCGTAGCACTGGTTTAGCAAGACTGTGGGGTGGCCCGTAGCTTTAGTTGGCTGGCAGCGCAGAAGTGTTGTAAGACTATGTGGGTGGCCGTAGCATTCACTAGTTGACAGAACGAGTATAGTAAGACTACGGGGTGGCCCGTAGCATTCGTCGGTCCCTATTCGCTAGTGCGAATGTATCAGGTGTGTGATTCAGTGGCAGGGTTTTTCAGATAGTTAAGTTCAGGACGGGGCAGCCGCCCGGATGTGAGTGGGCCACATTATGATTGGGTCCGGAAGGCGGTAGGTCATTGGAGACCAAGAGTGGCGTGAGACTGCAGGTAAGCCGTGGCATTCATTAGTAGCTTAGTTCGCAGAGTGTGGGCGGGGGGCCGTATCTCCGAGGTGGCATGGGGGAGACCGGTATTCCGGGTAATGGTAGATCAGTTGGGACTAGGGCGGTCTCGGTTCATCCGGTAGGCGGATGGGAGTCAACAGGACTACAGGCAGGAATGATGGTAAGGGATTCGGTGTGAAAAGACGTGAGCTGATCGGATGATGCTAAGCTGCTCATCGCGGGATCGAATGATCTCAGAGTAAAGGATTTGGCTCGGTGACGCCGTTCTCGTCTGAGCCTTAAACGTAGCAGAGAGGGATCTGCTACCCGAAGGATTGTCTGAATTCTCACGATTGGGTGGAGCTTTCAGTATTGGAGCATTGTATGGGGGTTATTCCGTGAGTATTGGTATGATGGCCGGCACTGGGAGTGGCCGATATTGCGGTTTCAGCAGAGGATCGGCCCTCGAAGGAAATTGGGAAGGTTGTTGCTTGTGGAAAGTGCCTTAGAAAGGCCAGTGACAGTGTAGGGTAAAAGGGTAAACCCCTTGCGAATTAAGGGTAAGTGTATCAGGAGTATCGGTATGATTACCGGTTGGATAAAAGTGTTGTACTCGAAGGTAGTGGGTAACGGGTTATTCTGAAGATGACATCTTCAAGGTTTGGATCGGATGGGCGGAGTGTGTACCTTGTGGTAAAGTAGCGACCAGATGGTAAGGTAATTGGCCATGGCAGACTTCGAGGACGAAGTCTAGTTTAAGTGGGGGAGTGTTGTAACACCCAGAATCAGAAAGACCAAGAAAAGAAAGGAAAGGCTCTAAGTCAAGAGTCAACTCGTCGAGTCCAGGGAGGAACTCGACGAGTCGGAGCGGGATCCGGGGCATAGAGTAAGTGACCGACTCGGCGAGTCTGGTCTGGGCGAGAAAAACCCTAATCCCAGGGGTTGTGCCCTATTTAAAGAACATTACATCCCTTCCCCAGCCTCTTTACTCCCCTTTTGAGATCCAGAAACCCTAAATCGTGAGTGAGAGCCCTTGGAAGCAATTTAGAGCCTAGATAAGTGATTTTGGTGGAAAGGGGCTTGAAGATCAAGAGGCTTGCTGCAAAGGAGTGGTGTAGATCCGGGATCTACTTCAGTTGGAGCATATATTGGAGGTAATAAGTTGTTGCTTTGGCTTTATTGCAAATAGATCTATCTTATGTTTGAGATTTGGGGCATTTTGGGCATGATTGAGATCTATGTCGAGTTAGAGGCCTAGATCTGAGGTTGCTACCTCAATACTAGACTTGTGATGGTCCCGAAGGTCATAAAGTTCATGTCAATAAGTTATTGGTGAAGCCCCTTTGTCTTAAACCCTAGCCCTTGAGTGTTTTGGGCCTTTAGCTCCTTGGTTTCACGTAAAGTTTGCAACTTTATGTGGGGGATAGACTGTAGAAGAGTGGATCTATGGATTGGAGCCCCTGCATGGCTCGAAAAGCCACTGTATGGATTGAAAACTGGAGAGACTCGGCGAGTCGCATGGGTGTACTCGACGAGTTGTATGAATATGTGCATGGACTCGGCGAGTTGGAAGAACAACTCGGCGAGTCTATTGAAGATTGCCTAGGACTCGGCGAGTCTGTTCTTGGACTCGACGAGTCAGGTCGCAGAACCCCCGACCTCTTCTGGTTAAGACGCAGATCAGTGAGTTGAGTGGTGACTCAGTGAATTGGACAGGATGGGACTCAGAGATCGTTGAACTCGACGAGTCCTGGGGTGACTCGGCGAGTTGGGTCGTATTTTGAGAGCTTCTGAGTTTAAGGACTCGGCGAGTCTTCGGGTTGACTCGGCGAGTCGAGTCAACTGGAAGGTTGAATTTGACCAGGACTTTGACTTTAACCAGAGTTGACTTAGTTTGACTTCTAGAGTTCAGTTTGGAGCTAAGTGTTTTATTGATATTAGTAGCTCAGGGAGCTAGTGGAGCAGCGGTTCAGAAAGTGGTCGGACAGCAGCCAGAGGGTTATCAGCAAAGTTCAGCAGTGCGAGGTGAGTCTCCTCACTGTTTGTATGGGTCTACGGCCACAATGCCGACCCATTTAGTTTATGTATGGTAGGAAGACCCGGGGGTTAGCCCTAGGCATTATGCATGAAAGACCAGGAGGTGGCTCCTAGCACACAATATATTATTATGAATGGTAGGAAGACCCGGGGGTTAGCCCTAGGCATTATGCATGAAAGACCATGAGGAGGCTCCTGGCACACAGTACGTTATTATGTATGATAGGAAGACCCGAGGGCTAGCCCTAGGAAATATGTATGAAAGACCAGGAGGTGGCTCCTGGCGCACTGCATGCTATTATGAATAAAAGACCAGGAGGTGGCTCCTGGCACACTATATGCGGAGTAGCCTAGTAGAGTAGTCTGTATAGTTGTCTTTGTGATACTTGCATGAAAGACCAGGGGGTGGCCCTTGGCACTTGTCTGTAAGACCCAGGGAGTGGCCCCAGGCTTGACCAGGAAGACCACGTGCGGCCCGTGGCATAACCGCAAGACTATGTTTGGCACATAGCACCTTAGCAAGACTATGTTTGGCACATAGCACCTTACTTGATTATGGATATGTTGGCTATGAATGGCTCTTGGCTATGTATGGCATGTATGGATCAGTTGGTTTGTATGGTATGTGGTATATGGGGAACTCACTAAGCTTCGTGCTTACGGTTTTCAGTTTTGGTTTCAGGTACTTGTTTTCAAGGAAAGGAGTCGGTTCGATCGCAGCGCATCACACTATGTTTTCCGCACATGAGATCTTTGGGATCACACTCTGATAGGGTTTTATGATAATATGTTTTGATTACTGACACTTTGGCTTGACACGAGATATTATTATGAATGTTTTTATACTGATGATTTATGTAATAACTTATTTAAAAATGAAATTTTTTGGCCTTGAATTTTGGGATGTTACACTCCATATGGAATTATATTATCATCATCAACCAACATCATTAGTTTTGTCTCATCATTTGCATATTCATCAACATCAATTGTAGGAGAAGCATCAGCAACAACCTTACATTTATACCTATAATCACCTCCATCTATATGACTTCATTATAAGAAGGAACATGGTTGGTTGTCATATGTAATAAATTACACATTTAGTTACTTCCAGCACCAGAAGCCCTATTTCCATTAGAACAATTTCCCCTGACAAATCGATGAATACCACTTTCCGTAACATTACAACAAACAATTGTACTATGTTGAGAGGCATAATACTAACAAAACTAAGAAAACATATGACATCACTATCGTCTAGAATCTGCATAACTATATTTGATCGAGAACATTGAAAAGATAGACGTATTTGGTTAGTGTGTAACATGGACTTGGAAGCAACCAACATAATTAACCCGACGAAGTTGATATCATTGCTTATATCTACACCAAAACATGTGTAGTCTGAAGCAATATATTACATAGATCCTTTAATATGTTGTCATTGCCACCACTAGAAACTAACACTCGAAAAAAATAATATATACATACTCTTTTCAAAATGTGTAGTGATGGTATCAAAAACACAAATATATAGCGGTGTGAGAAAACAGTTTTTGCAAAAGTGTTTAGATTAGAAATAAGCTATAAGCTTTAAGCGGAGGGGGGAAGCTTTTCAAAAGTAGTTTATTTAGCTTCTCCCCACCACAATAAACCGATTTTTAATGTTTCCTATCCAAACACTTAAACTTAGCTTATAACGATGGGGATAAACAATAAGCTATAAGCTCTCTTTTTTCCCTATCCAAACACCCTCTAAGTATGTGGCCACTAATCATTATGAATAAAAAAGTATAACTACATTGCTATTTTAGGTAAATAAAATAAAGTATATTACCATATTTCATATTTGTAGGCAGAGTAAAGTATTCGTTGTTTTGTTATACTCGCAGAAGAGAAAAGTCAACCAATTCGAATCCGAAGCATATTTGTGTATCTAATTCTCTTGCAACTCACTTTAGTATATGGTATATACAACAAACCAATGTGCATGAGTTACCATATAGCACACCAGCTCAATAACCCGATCTAAATACAAATCAACAATCATAAAAGATATGACTAACTACACGTGTAAAAAAAATTCTAATCTTAAAGTTAAAATCCCCAAAGGCATATATTTATATATATAAGTTTATCTTCTTAGTTTTGTTGAGTTTTTTGTAGCTGCTTGCTTACACATGCAATCCGGCATGGGGTATGTGAAAAGTGAGGCAGTTGGCTTCTTCAGTTCGCTCCCCTTTACATCACTATGATGAAGCATTTCCCGCAGTTGCTTTTGAAAGCTCTCCCATCTAAACATCACAATAATCAGCAACATCATCCTTCACAAGTTCATATCATTTTTCAAGCAAAATTTCAAAATTAGGTTATCAGTTTCATGTTTTGAAAGCATTGAGGTTACATACATATATGAATCTGAAAGATTCATCTATTCTTCTTATGAGGATATGTAGTGCCATGTTACCTGATATGGGGGCTATCGAACAATTGAGCTAATTTTCTCTTGTCAGGTATTATCGTCTTTGCATGTCCTTCATAAAAATAGCGTCTGTGACCGATTAAAAAGTGTGGAAAATTTCCTCCCTGAGTAGTAACAAAAACCTCGCTATGTAGACATAACGTATAATCAAGAGCAGCCAACCTAGACGAGTACCCCTGCATCAAAAACAAACAATCAGTAAGTAAAGTTGAGGGACCAAAAGTGTAAATTTCAGATGTATACTAATACTACCATAAATGGAGCGAGCTCCTCAGGTGAAGCTAATGTATCCTTTGTTTCTAAGCGTGGAAACATTTGTTTAAGTGGGGCCATATATTTTTCTGCTTTGTAGATTTTACCCGCTGCCACATATACAGAAGTATTGTTATCAAAACCCATTCCCCTCAGCATCATTCCAACCTACAAGTTAAACAAACAAAGGGAACTTTTAGTCTTTCAAAACATTATAGTTTCAATTATTTTTCTTATTAAGGCTTTGAAAAATGAATCTAATTAATAGTCATTGTACCTCGAGGGGGGTTAAAGGGCATTTTCCATCCATTCTAATTGCACCGGGTTTTATTATACGATTCTTTTTCCGGAACTTTCCTCTCCAACTTCTTTCACGGGCAATATCCATTTCTTTTTGTTCTTCCTCCCCACCATCATATATGCAACATGAAAAGGCAACCATGTCCTTCAAAATAAGCAAACATTTCAGGACCATTTAATAAAAGATTTGGGTTAAATGCATTTAGTCCTATAAAGATTATGTTCTAGAGTTGTGCACCTCTTCAAAACGGAGATGAACCGAAATATATTTTCCACCACTGCTAGAGCTATTACGGATCATTCTATCAACCATTTTTGCTGCAAGTGTGCGTATAGGTTCTGAAAACCTAAGTGCCCCAAAGTTGGAAAGACATCTATGCCCCTGGATATCTGAAGGAACAGCATGAGCCAATCTGTTAGAGAATGGCGCAATACGTACAGCCCTGCACAATCAATAATGTCGCAGCCCTGGTTGTTAAAATAGATGGAAATAGTCAACAGTTTTATGATACAAAAAAAAGAAAAACCTACAAATTTTATGAAAACATAATCTATTGAGTATATTGGTATGATAATAATATAAATCAAAAAGGTTTGTAAGATGGCAGATTTACATACCCTAATTCCAGAAGCTTTGGCAAGACCTTTTGAAGGTAGTAAGTTGGACTTGACCAACCTTTGACTCTCAGATTTACAATGTTGCTTATATTGTTGTCAAAACGTGTAAGTACATCTTCTGGTAATTCTCTAACCACATTCACATGACTTCTCAATGCGTATATGAAGAATTCCTCATCAAATATATCCCCAAACTTGCTACAATTTGGAAAGGGAAAATATATAATGGGGCTTGAATAAAGACATGTTACATGGGAAATGAACATTTTGTTTGAAAGCATAACATGTTAGATGAGTACCATATTATAATAATGCACCCTATGTCCCAAATCTAGAATACTCATCAACAAAGAAATCTTGTGGACCAAAATAAATGCAATAAATAATTCAAAAATTAGCTACAGGATATTCTTATTAATCATGAATATATACAAGATTACAGGGATAATTTGGGCAGGAGACACCAAATACAAATATAAGCCCAATACAAATACAAAGCCTATTTACTAACAATAATAATTTTTATCCTAGAACAATGTGACACTTCACAAGGGTATTTATGTCATCCTAAAACTACAAGGGTAAAATGGTCGTTTCATGCAATTCCAGCAATTTCCTGGTCGGAAACAGGTTTAAAAAGTTGGGTAGCTTAACTGTCCAAAAATTCCTATGTGTAGCCTGAATGATAAAAAGTGAAAAGTAGTGTTGCCTAATTATATAATATGACCTGGCAATTCGTGTATTCGTGTCATGAAAACGTGTCAGCCATGAATTTGACACGATACGGTTACACAATGAGAAATAAGCTTTATCTCAAATTTTAAGATGTATTCGTGTCGTGTATTCGTGTCGTGTCGTGTCTCTCACAGATTCGTGTCTTCGTGTCTGAAATTGCCAGGTCATTAATATTCCTTGTATTTATTTGCAAAATAGGAGGGTTTATTTATTTGATCAGGTAAGCTTCTTTGAACAAAGCAGAACTTATATTTACGACTTGTTAAATCATATTTTATCACCAACTTCAATAAATTACTTGACTTCTCATTTAATTACAAGGCTCCACATCTGTCATTATACATATACCAAAAAAAGCTATTATCATTCTCATTTGCAAAGATACAAACAAATATGGATAGTATGATTAATCATATACCAAAAAAAGCTATTATCATCCTCATAATCATAAACACTTAATATTTAGTATTTTCAAGTGATACGAAAAGGAAAAACAATGGGAAGTTAATTTAACAGAATTTAAAATAATAATAATAATAATAATAATAATAATAATAATAATAATAATAATAAGAAGCTACCTTGAGTCACGCCATACACTGTTTAAATGAAACATTGGAATGACAAGTGTAGCATTCAGTAGCCCTGCCACTGCCACCGCATCACATATCTGATTTTGAGAATATATATTAATTAACTACATAAGTTTTATTTCATTAATTATATAACTAAATACCAAATTTAAAGTAAGGTTAGAAAAGTACAGATAATCTTTGTTGGTTCAACCCCCCATTTGCTTCAATTATGAGGAACCCATTTGATTTTGGTAATTCTGGAATTGTAACAGATCATAAAAGAAGTTATATAAAGATAAGATTTAGAATCAAAGAGCAAGATAAAGAAAGATTAAAGAAAGAGGAGCAGTTAAAAGATGAGTTCACAAAACATCTAGTAATCATCCCTTTCCATTTATAGTATTGCCTGTTTGCCATGTGTTCTACTTAATTATGGGATTAAATTACTTGAAAAGCACCAACCTGCTTCTGAATTCTGGAGGGGAATACAGGGCTTCCAAGATTGACGTGTCTTCATGTTCCACACATTCATCATCTGTGATTTCCATTTTCCATGCAGAAAGTTACAAATTTAGATACCTTCAAAATACAACTCTAGAAAGCATGAAAATTGAAAACAAAAGAAACTCATAGCTTTTTCTTCATATACAGAGACTACAATTACAAACTACAAGGTTAAAGAAAACCAATTGCTTGCTATATGGCTGATCAATCATTAAACAAGATGAAAGGGAAATTAAATGAAATTTATTATATATTCTTCATAATAACAAACCAACTATGTGTATATGTATATGTATATTCTAAACAATTTCTAAAGTTAACTAATTAAGTGAATTATAACCCCATAAAGGAATAGAAACCTATACTAATTACCTTCTTCACTTCTAAACATTATGCTAATCCTAAATTAGGTAGCATGAGCTAACTAAAAGTCTCTTTATGTTGAATTCAGATTCATTAAATGAGGGTTTGCCTGCATTAATTACTTAAACCCTCGTTTGAGATGACTGATGAGAAAGCTTTTTTGATTACAAACATTAGGCACAATAAACGTTTCCCCCAAATTCAAACTCTACTTTTCATGGAAAATTAGGAACTGATTGGCTATTTTCATGTGGATCACACTTTCCGTGTGCAAAGAAAAGAAAGATGTTAAAAACAAAAGCATTGCATACATATAACAGAGCAATGAATAAAAAACATATTATTACCAAGTCATTGCTGCGATTATTCTCAGCTTCCATATACGGCCACAGGTGTTCAAAAACCTGCGGACTCCGATACAAAGATCCCACCGGAGCTGTTTTTCCGGTGCTACTTTCACTACCTTTACTAATAATACCAACATCAAAACCCATTGTACCCATATACAACAACATTGCAGAGATATAAAGCAAGGGAGCAAATAATAAAATCCCTCGCCGCCTATACACCGCCGATATCACAACATACACCCACCGCTCCACAAAACTCTGCAGCTTCACGTCTACACCACCACCTCCACCGCCTCGGAAACCGCCTCCACCTCCACCGCTGCTGCCTTTGTTACGACGAAATCGAGGGGAGGAAGGAGGTGATGGGGACGGCGAGATGCTCCCACTTCCGGTGCTTGGCCGTCCTAAGCGGCTGTAGCCGTGCATTTCGTGGGATCTTTAAGTTGATTACAACAAATCGGATACCACAAAGATTCCAACTTTCTTCGGATTTCTCACAATTTCAACTTGCCCAGGTACAGAAGGTTGAAATTGGGAGAAACCCAGATGAGAAAATAAACTAAGAATCAATTACTGTACATGTAACTATACCAAGATGGATTTGGGAAAAAGAATGATAATAATAGTATAATGTCAGTGTCAATTACAGCGAAGGGGGCATGGTAGCTTTTCTTGAAGAGGTAACAAAAACAACCGGGGGGAATAGAGTTTGGACTAAATTGGATTCAAAGCGCGTAGCAGCGTCAGAAGCTACAAATCCCATTAAATTCCCACTTGTGATCTTCATTGCGAATAACTTTATTAAAAATTAGAAAGTGAAAAGTATAGTGTGACTTTGGGTTTTCTAACGTGGCGTTATTTATGACTTTTAAGTTTTAAGTAACGCTCTTCTTTCTTCTGGAGGAGCTTCACCGACATTTTCATGGCATCTGTCGGCAGTGATTATTCCTATGGCTGGTCAAAGTTAACCGTGGACGGTAATTGGTCAAGTTACTGGTTGACAAGAAAGGACGTGATTTCAACACAAATCATAGTCGAGAAGACTAGATTTGCAATGTGGATGGTGTGACATACTTTTAACTTTGACATTAACAATCATGGAATAAGAACCATTGCAACTTGTTTTCATGTGAGAGAGAGATTTATAAGACATAAAAGGAAAAACCATAAGTGGGAGGGAACTATAAAATGGGGAGCACCATAAATGGCTTCCTTAGTCTTATATTGGGGTTATCTCGTCACAAAAGCGAACCAATGGCTTTTTGGATTATAGAATTGTTTCTTGAGACACAACAATAACAATTAGAAAACTTAGTCCCATAAGAATTGAGTTAAGGGGGGAGATAAGAGTTGGGAAGTCAAAGTTGTTTCCAAAGTACACATTCGGCTAATATAAAAAGAGAGAAAAAGAAATGGATAAAACTCATGCTCGGCGCGTATGATATCTGCATATTAAATAGTTAGTCCACCATGTATAAACAATAAAGCATGAAACAAAAAATGTTAGGGGTGAACATGTGCTTAAAGTATGAAAACACAAATGATATGAGTAAATACTATAAATAAATCATGGGCCATGCATTGGCCACAAAGCTTGTAGTCAAAACTATCTATAACATTTGCAATTTTAGGTATGTTTCATTTTAGCCATTCATTTAAAATCCTTGTAATTTGGTCCCTAGTCGAGTCTGTTGGGCGTACTCTATGAGTACGATGGGTGTGTTGGCTCGTTGGTTTGGTTGCGGAGGCGCCCACGTACGTGGGGCGTACGAGGGAGTACGTGGGGCGTACGGTCAGCAGGGGCAAACCCTAATTTTTAGGGTGTGTGCCCTATTTAAACACCTTAAGTTGCTTTGGGAGTTTCTTATGACCAACTTCCATCCCTCTAAGCACTGAGAACGAAACCCTAGCCTCCATTTGAGTGTTTGTGAGCCATTGTTGTGATCTTGTGGTGTTTTTGGTTACTTACTTACTTTGAAGGAGGTGAAGCTTGGTGGTGAAGCTTTGGTGGAATTGGAGCTTGAAGATCCAAAATCTTCATCAACTTTGCAAGCTTTTTGAGGTATAAAGCTTCTACCTTGGTACTCCAACTGTTAGATCTAGTTTAGGGCTTTGTTTTGGTATGTTTTGGCCCCATAAGTCCTCCTTATGAGTATGAGTCACTCCAGGAGTTAGGAATGCTAGATCTTAGCCTCTCTAATGTTCCTTATGCATAAAAATGCTACTTTGATGTCTTATTTTGGACCATGCATGAATTAGGATTCTTATTATGAGTCTTAATGGTCAAAAACGAGTATTGGGTCCTTTTGAGCCATGTAAAGGCTCCAAGTTAAGAACTTTATGGATTAAGACGTTTCTCTAGACTTGGATATGAAATTTGGATGTTGGAATGCAAGTATTAAGCACTTAAGGAAAAAGTGTTTAATATACGCATACGTTGGACGCACGCAAGAGTACGCTGCGCGTAAGTGTCCGTGTCCGCGATCATGTATTCAGCCTAGTACGCGGGGCGTACGTCTGGTACGCGCAATGTACCAGGCCTGATCTTGGGCTTTTGCGACTTTGGGCCATATTTGGACTATTGGGGTTTTGGGTCATGTTCGGCCATTAGCCTTTCTGACTTTGGGCCATTGCTAGGCTTTGGGCCTTCTTGGATTTGGGCCCATATTGGGCTTTGGGTATCATATTAGGGATTTGGGCCGTATTAGGCTTTTTGATGCCATTGGGTTGGGCCTCGGTTATTGGGCCAAGTGAGGAAAGGGTAAAATGGTCTTTTACCCTGGGTGTTGGACAAATGAACTAGGATCCCAGTTATGGTTTGTGGCCCATTTATTAATTGGGTATTATTTGATGACGTTTAGTGCGGAGATTTCCCGGATTAGCAGCCCGTGCTTTTATCTGATTTATTCAGCAGTTTGCGGTGAGTCTCCTGTGACAACCCGAAAAATTTATTCTTGTAAAGTCAAAAACAGCAACAAAAGGTCAAACTTATAGGTTTCTAAGCCTAGTATAAGTTAGGGTTGTGTGTTAGGGAGTGAACCACTAAGGATATGGAGTTCGGAGTATAGCATTCGGGCCTTAAACCTCATCAAGTGAGGTTCACGGCCGCAAACTAGGTTCACGGCCGTGAACCCATGCTATATATAAGAGTTTGGCTCATTTTCTCATCACTTCTTCATCTTCTAGCCGTGAACCACCCCATTCTCTCTCAAGTATCATCCACCAAAAGCTCTTCTTTCTCTTCAAAATCGTAAGTAACTCATCCCTTCTTGTTGTTCATGTGAAACCCCTTTGATTCATCACTTTGCTTCAAGATCTTCAAGGGCCGTGAACCCTTCATAAGGCCGTGAACATTCATCGGGGCCGTGAACCCTTCATGTTTGGGCCGTGAACACTCATGTGTTCTTGGATCGTGAACCCTCCATAGGGCCGTGAACTCCATTTCAGCCTCCTAACTTGCTTCTAACACTCTTTTGGTGAGTTATTCTTGCATCCTAGGTTGTTTCCTAAACACCTTTGTAGTTATATTCACTAACTATATACATATATGTATAATAATATGCTAAATAGGACTCGTTTGTGCTTCGGAATTTCACTCGGGAAACTTACCAATCTATACCAAATTTTTTATTTAAATCCCTCAAATAAGGTGAGTTCATACCCCTATAATCTACCTTTTGAAATGGTTTAAAATGCTTTTTAGGGGGGGGGGGGGGGGGGGGATACAAGTAAAACACAAGATTGCTTGTGTTTAAAAACATAATTTTACTTATTATGTTTTCTTACTGTTTAAATGTATTTGAACTTGAAACTTGTTAAAGTCATAGAAATCAACTTATAAACTATAATAGATATAGTTTATGGATCATAGGAACTATTTTACAAAAATCCAGGTTAAAACATGGAAATGAACTTATAAACTATAATAAATATAGTTTATGAAACAAAAGGAAATCTTTTTCCAAAATTACTTGTTAAATTATAAAAAGGTTTTACACTTTATGTAAATAATTAGTACAGGATTGTGAACCGCTAGATGTACCACTCAGGGTACCCGTTAGAATCTTAATTATAACCAGAGTCTTCTTAAGGGAGAGCGCGAGTTGGTGTATAGATCTATACGGGACTAACTTTGTATTAGTATGGTTATAATGAATATTCACAATAGTATTAACTAATTATTTACATAAAGATATACTTTTCCTAAACTTTCCCAAGGGATACTAATTATATGATTTCTCAGTATATACAATAGGCTTAGATAAAATTGAAGTCCGATAGACAGTGGAATGTGTGACTTCTGCCTCATTTCCTGTTCCTTGTTTGGTTGTGGGCTTAGGGCAGATTCACCCATTCAACTGTCTATTTGATCTCGGTATTATACAACTCGTGTGTACTAAGCAGTGTTGTAAATATCGGCCTAGGCGCTAGGCGGTCTGCAACTGATTACGATTAGGGGTGCTTGGCGGAAATTGGTCAATATCGGTCAAACTCGGGCTAGGCGGTCCTTGGCGGTCCTCGGCGGGAAGATTTTAAAATTTTCAAAATTTCAAAATTTCAAATATTACACCAAAATTTACAAAACTTCAAAAAGTTATAAATTTTTAAATATTCAAATATTCAAATATTATACCAAATATTTCAAAATTTCAAATTTCCAAAATTTTAAATTTTCAAATACTTTTTTTCTTAGGATATATTAAGTTTTAAAATAGTTTTATTAGTAATTTATGGTCCCTGATTAATCCTCCGATTAATCCCCGCCAAACCGATTAATCGCTTGACCCCAGTCGACCGCCGAGCGATTTTTACAACTCGTGTGTACTAAGTGATCATAGGAGGGTAGTATCGTCATATCGAGTTTTCAGGGTAATTACATGTTTAGATAGGGTTACTGATAAACAAAATTGGGTATCATTAAGCTAAGTATGGTTATTATACTTGTGTTTCTCGGTCTTGGAGCGTTTAAGACTACAAATCGGTTTTATAGAAAATATAGGATTTTCTATGGCTTACATCGTTATTTTGGAAGATAAACAGTTTTCGATAGAACTTTCTGAAAACAATAACATTTATCACCGAAAACAATGTTTCACAATAGAGTTAATGAAACAAGAAACTTATTTACAAAAGGTTTAATACTTGTTATTAAACTAGTATTACAAAAAGGACCTTTAATGGTTAATTCTATAATTCCTTAGTTTATACATTCGAATTATATATAAATAATATCTGATAGGCAGTGGAATGTGTGACTTCCGCCTCATTTCTTGTTCCTTGTTTGGTTGTGGGCTTAGGGCAGATTCACACATTCAACTGTCTGTTCGATATTAGGTTATATATAGTTAGTATAAACTAAGTGATTATGGAAGGAACTATTGTGGTTACCATTTTACCAGAGATTCTTAATGTGAATTATGGAATTACTTGAGGAATACATTAGGATTATATATAATAAAGATCCGGTAGACAGTGGAATGTGTGACTTCCGCTTCATTTCCTGTTCCTTGTTTGGTTGTGGGCTTAGGGCAGATTCACACATTCAACTTGTAACATCCGGATTTTCAGGGACATTATTGTGTATGTTAATCTTGAGATTTAAGGAGGGACTCGACGAGTTGAGGGACCAACTCGCCGAGTCGAGTCGAGATTGCCGCGTGGATTTAATGAATGGACTCGACGAGTCAGAGGAGGGACTCGTCGAGTAGGTGCTGGGCAGAGAAACCCTAATTTCCCGGGTTTGGGACCTATTTAAAGGCATTTATAGCCTCAATTGCGGCTACCTTCCCCTGAGAGCAAACCCTATTTGCTATTGTAGCTAGAGAGTGAGAGAGAAGCTCATATTGTGGTTCTTGGTGCATTTCTATGGAGAAGGATGAAGAGCTTCTTGATGGGGAACAAAGGAAGGCAGTGGATCTGTGGTATTGAGTGTTTCAGCTGCTAAGAGAAGATACAAAGTTCTCATCTTGTTCATTCCTTGTACTAGATCTCATTTTGGGAGTTTTAGGGCTTTGCTTCCATTCTTTTGAATCTATGAGTCGAATGAGACCTGGTTGTGGTTGGAAACCTCAGATCTGGACCTCCTAAGGTCCTTAGAGTCTAGACGTCTCAGCTTTAGTGGTCCAAATGAGGGTTGATGAGCAAAAACCTTCATGAAGAGCATGTATTGGCGTTTTGAAGCAATAGCATCATGTATGAACGTAAAGATTGAAGCTTTACGTAATTATTGAGCCTTGGGATGATAGATCTATAGTTTAGAGTGATAGATCTGGTTGAAATCGTCTGAATGAGAAATCAGATCAAAGGGACTCGCCGAGTCCATGACCTGACTCGACGAGTCGGCAGGGTTTGTCCTGATGGATTGATTGTGCGATAACTCGGCGAGTTGGGGGTCAACTCGACGAGTTGAGCTGGACTTTTGAGACTTCTGAGGATACGAGGGGACTCGACGAGTCGCAGGAGTGCACTCGACGAGTCGGGTCAAACTTGGACTGTTGACTCGAGTTTGACTTCTGTTGACCATGGGA